TTGTGAGTAAATTTGAATGGTATATAATACTGCCACCCTCCTCCTCGTCCAATGACTTGGTGCCCATATTGTTCTTTTTCTATTTTGTAGGTCAACACCTGATAGGTAAAATCCTAAAATCCTGCTACTCTACCATCACCTGATAGCACCAATCACTCAGAATATTTGTCTTCCTTATAAATTCAAATACTCAAATTCCCAGTCCTTTACTCCTGCCCCAAACTAAGTTAACTCAAAGACAATGACTTATATTTCTAGTAAGCAATTCAAGTACAGATAAATTTTGCTGCTGTGTCCAGTGTGGTAGAGCATCAGGCTTTGGAGTCCAACAGATTTGTCTTAAAATCAATGCACTCTCATTGTCAAACTCTGAGGATTTAGGCAAATTACTTAACCTTTCTGAGGTGCATTTTTCTCACCTGTAATTATATCTCAGAGAATTGTAATATTAAACTAGATAAGCCTAGCATAAAGTAGAAGTATTCAAAATGTTATTCTAGGGGCGCCTGGGTGGCTCAGTCGGTTAAACGTTCGACATGGCTCAGGCCATGATCCCAGGGCTCATGAGTTCCAGCCGCACGTTGGGTTCTGTGCTGACAGCTCAAAGCCTAGAGCCTGCTTCAGATTCTGTGTCTCCCTCCCTTCCTCTCTGCCCCTCCCCTGCTCACACTCCATGTCTCTCTCTCTCTCAAAAATGTATAAACATCAAAAAAAAAATTTTTTTTAATGTTACTCTATTTTCATCTTGCACATCATCTCAAACAAATACAAAATATCCAGGTAATAATTGCCAGTTAAACAGTTATAAAAAATATTTTTACACCTGCTTCTGTTAAATAGTAAATAGAGCAGTCATTAACCAGCTGGCACCAAATAAATAATAATTGGACACATCAGTGATGAGAAATAATAAAGTGTGACAAAGCCTTGAAAATGACCAAACAGAAGATAAACAGCTTTTTTTTCTTTTAGAAATTCTTCTTCACTTTAAAAACTCCTCTTTCCTTTACTCTTTTTTTTTTTTTAATGTTTATTTATTCTTGAGACAGAGAGAGACAGAGCATGAACAGGGGAGGGGCAGAGAGAGAGAGGGAAACACAGAATCTGAAACAGGTTCCAGGCTCTGAGCTGTCAGCACAGAGCCCGACGTGGGGCTGGAACTCACGGACCGTGAGATCATGACCTGAGCCAAAGTCGGACGCTTAACCGACCGAGCCACCCAGGGGCCCCTTTCCTTTACTATAAAACTCAATGTTTTCTTAGGCCTTTGAAGTCAAAGTCAAAACATTAATGGGAAATGGAGCTTGACAGAGGATAAATAACCACTATTTGCTGGAGTCAGTGATTTCCACAGGAAATGAATATGGGTTTATAATAATGGTGATAATTTGAATTTAAAGGGCACCTTTTGGGGAAAGAGTTCTCTGTATTCTTTCTACTCTATAATTTATCATCTATCATACAGGAGAAGTAGGGATTATACTGCTATATGGAGCAACTGTCTAAATTAATGTGTGAAATCATAAAACTCACATTTGCTGAGCATCTTAGAGTGTGACATACTTTTCCAATTAACAATGAAGACTGGAATCCAGATACTCTGATCTCCATTACAGCAATACAGAAATAAACTGCAACATTTTAACACTTTCATAAATTCTAGTTTAATTATTTTATATTTCACTTAATTACATTTAACCAAGATGAATGTTATAACAACTCTACTGCTTATCAAGAATTGAATATAGGGGTGCTTGGGTGGATCAGTCACTTAAGTGTCCCAACTTCAGCTCAGGTCATGATCTCACGGTTTGTGAGTTCGGGCCCCACGTGGGGCTCTGTGTTGACAGCTTGAAGCCTGGAGCCTGCTTCTGGTTTCTGTGTCTCCTTCTCTCTCTCTGCCCCTCCCCTGCTCGTGTTCTGTCTCTCCTTCTCTCTCTCAAGAATGAATAAACATTAAAAAAAGAATTTAAAAAATTTTTTAAAAATAGGGGTACCTAGGTGGCTCAGTCAGTTAAGCGTCCAACTTGGGCTCAGATCATGATCTCGTGGTTCATGAGTTCAAGCCCCGCATTGGGCTCTGTGCTGACAGCTCAGAGCCTGGAGCCTGCTTCGGATTCTGTGTCTCCCTCTCTCTCTGCCCTCCCTAGCTCACATTCTGTCTCTGTCTCTCTCAAAATATAAACACTCCAAAAAATTTTTTTAATTTAAAAAAAAGAACATAAGCTTTAAACTATGCTAAATAATTTCCCATAATGTTCTATTAACTCCTTCTATCATGTGTATTTTTATCTTGTCCCATTCTTTTGTGAATTTATTTCCCTTTTCCACCTGTACTTTTCCACCTGTACTCTGATGTGATCTCATTTATCTCACACACTTTAGAACCTTGCCCCATAAATTATACCTACTTTTTTATATCGCCCTCTCAAAATAGTCATTTTGTAACATGACTTTCCTGACTCCCTCTGCCATTCTTAGAAAAATTAAGCTCTTATCCCTCAATGATCCTAGATTATTTTCTTCATACCACTAGTATAAATGAAGAGACATGCTGGAAGCGATATGACTGAAAGAAAGGGTACCAGGGCTCTTGCAATATTCAAGCTATGAGATCCTAGGCATATTCCTTGACCATTCTGAGCCTCTGCTTCTTAATCTATCAAATAGGGAAAAATTAACAACCCATTCTACACGGGTATAATGAGGATTAATGAGAACAAATATAAGGCACAGATAATTGGCTTTTAACACAATGTATATACTTTGTTGTAGAATGGTCTGTTTGTCTGTCTACTCAGATCCGTGGTTCACAATTTCTTTTAGAATTTTTTTAAACTCCGGGAAATCCAAATAGTCCTCTCTCAACTTACTGAAATCAGCGCCCTTGATTACAAACTCCATGAGGTCAATGAAGTCATATATTGCAATTTTTGTATCTCTGCATCTCCAATATCTAGCCCAGAACCTTTGATATATTAGATGCTTAATATATGCTCATAAGAGCAGAGTATTAAGCTATAGGTATTAAGTAGAGAAATTACCGGGTATGCAAACTAAATTTCTTTTTTCAGCAGTGAACAATATTTTACAAAATCACATTGTTTGGGGTATTTTTCTAGCTATTTCCCCAGTATAATCTCATCAGTAGCTAGAAAAAGTATACAATTGTTTATAAGTTCTTTTCTTCCAAGAAGTTCAAGGATTTTTACAAACATTTCTCATCAATCCCTAGAACATCTCTGATGTAACTGGAGATAAAAAGGAAAAAAAACAGAATATGAATCCATAATCCACGTGAATTACTAAATTCATAAATTCCACTCAGCAAAACTTCCATCTAATTTTTCAATTTGTGAACATTTTGCCACCATTTCCTTTCTAAATCCACCTGAGTTACCTATTTACTCATTACATCTGGATATGCTGGTCTGGAACATTATTATTTGCTCAAGAAAGCAAAATTTTCAGAAAGTATTCTACAGAGTAAGCGACACACAGAACTACATAAAAATGACAACTCTAATTCCTTAATAGAAAACTGATTATTCAGGCTACTGAGTTTATTTCAGACTACAAGATATTTAAGAATTAAACAAACTATTTTCTTCAAATTTTAATAATCAGAGACCAGTAGCCCAATCAACAGCTTTAACTTCTTTCTGCTCCCCATCATTTTGTTCTTTTGTACCCTTTCTGACTGCCCAGCCAGGAAACATTCTCTTCCTTCTCCATATTAACAGAATCCCACTTGTGTTCAGGCAACATTGGGCTCAGCCCCAGGGGATGAATCATGATTCATCTTAGCCAATCAATTCTGTTCCCCTTTATCAATAATTGGTATAAAATTGCACCTGTGGTCTAGACCTGACCAATAAACTGAAAGAAGTTGCCAGGGATTTTTTCCTCCTTGATGAGACTGCAGCAAGAATAGGCTCGTTTGACCCCAACCAATTTCCCTGTACTTGAGAAGCTGCCAGGTTGAACTTGATGCTTACAGCTATGCCACTCGCTTGAGATCATGAGTGGAAGACCAAGGAAACTTTAGAGATCCTCACTCTACGCCCAGACATAAGTGAGTCTCTATCTTCAGGCTTCCTGTTACATGAAATGCTGTTTTGTCTAAATCACAAAGAGTCAGATACCCCGTTCCTTGAAGGTGAAAGCATCCTAATTAGCACAAACAGACCAATAAATCAGGCAAGAAGGGAAGTAGAGATTAATTACTGAGCACTTACTATTACATCTGTAATCTCATTTAATCTTCACAAAGCCAAATGAAAATTACTAATATTTTGTTTTGTTTTTGTAAAAACTAAAGCTTAATAAAGTATAGTTAAAAAATAACAAAGCTAAAAGTCTTTTTAAAAATATAAAATAACAAAGCTAAAAGTCTTTTTAAAAATATAAAATCCCTTCCTCCTAGCTCATAGCTCTTGTTAAAAAGACAAACCAGTAAGTTGACATGTTACAGCGAGGAAACTTAGGGAGACCTAAGGAATACCAAGTATTCTTACAACCTTGTCATAGGATCTGCAGCCCTCAACTCTATTTTGTATCAAAGTTAAAGGGGGAAAAAGACAAAAATATGTGTATATGTGTATAAAAAGTTCCAGAATGTCTAGTAGAGTGGCCAAAATCCTGTAACAAAAACTAGGATGGATTTTAAGTGTAATACTCAATTTTTCAAAAATTAAAAAAATATGAAGTTAACTACGAGTATTTCTTAAACCAAAAAAATTACTTCCTTATTTCAAACTATTCCATTAACCAAGTATCTATCAATATAGAAACCACAAAGTTAACACTTCCTCAATTCTCATCTGTTCACGAAAAGTGATTCAGCTTAAATCTTGGCAACCAAAAAAATTATATAAATACTAAGATTCAATGAGGTCATTTTTTATTTAGAAATTTACTAGAACTGGGTGTTCCAGGCTATTTATAATGTCATCTCAACCAGAAGTATATTCACCTTATATTGTCTTTATTAATTTCTAATTGAGCTTAATAAAATAGGCATGCCACATTTGTGACCTGAAACACATACAACTTACCTTCCCACATGCTCTGCAATGATGCCTCCTTTTGGTGAATGTGAACCTGGCTTCACATTTCATGCAATTTGGAGCCTGAGAATCTGGTACCCACACGGGAGCCACCTCACCCAGAGTAGTAAATGGCTTCCTGGCAGAAATTCCAAACTGACCAGCTCTGAGATCATTATCTGGGCTTTCTGGAGCTAATGCAAGGCACGGTCTACTGGATATCCCAGACTCGTAGCTTTCTAAATGTTCCCCATTTGTATCAGCAATAGTGATGTTTCCTAAAGAGGAATTGCATACATTGGTTGTTGAATTTTCCCCTAATTTTGCTTTTCCAAGAACATCATTTTTGTTTTTAATATTATTTCCACTATTTGTAGGAAGGTCATTTTGTAAGTGGTCAGACAATGGCTTTGGAATTTGAAGTTTAAGATTAGAAGGTTGCTTGGGTCTTGCACCACCAAAAGGAACACTGATAGACTGCAGGTTTGCTACTATCTTAGGTGAAGATTGCCCAAGCACTGATGGAACTTGGCTACAGAAACTGTGTAAATAATTTTTCTTCATTAGGTCACCAGTGCTGTTTAAATGTAGACCACTCCCTTCTGTGGCTTCATTTCCTCTCTGTTCATAAATATTTGAGTAGCATTCTGATTTGCTCTCTTCTATTTCCTTTTCTTCTGTTACTGAATCTTCTTTGGAGGGTAAAGTCTTTGGAACAAAACAAACAACTGGGCTCTGCATTCCATAGGAATCACAATTAGATACAGAATTTGCTGCTGGTGTATCCATACTGGAGAAATCACATCCTTCACTTTCATTCATGCAAGTTCCTTTTAAATCTAGACCTGCTTCAGCCATTCTATCACACTCTCCTCCATTATCACTGTAAATGTCCTCAGGCTGATTCATCTGCAGAAACTTCTCATTTTCTTTATTTATTTGGCTGTCATTCATATCATTTAGCTTAGTCAATTTCCAATTAGTCATCTCCTGAGAATCAGAGAAATGCTCTGTCATATTAAGAAGTTCTGTAGTGTCAAGTATTTCTTCATGTTCACAACCTTCCTTTTCATCAGCTCTAACTTCACTGGACACAAGGCAATCTGAAAACTGTTCACAGTTATCATCCCTTCCAGACCCATTAGGCATGTCTGTTTTGAGAAGCAAAGGTAAACCAGGTCGGATGGATTCTTCGGTTGTTCTCTCCTCTGCTGGCTCTTTTGTCATCAAAATCCCCTCACTCAGATGGGAAAAGGAGTTTGGACTCCCTAGATCTGTCCTAGCAGAGCTGGTTTTGCAAGTGAGAACCTCATCTGGTATACAGTTCTCTTGCTTTTTAGCAGCAGAACCTTCTTCATCTGTTCCCTGGGATGAGATTACTGAATCAATTGTTAAACTTGTAATCACAGACATGGAGGGATCTCTACCTATATTTTCATCATCCTTTAACTGTGAGGAGGAACAGACACTGGCTAGATTATCAGATGAAGTAGTACACATATGTTTAACAGAATCCCCCACTGCACTTGGTCTATTCAACAGATCCATTTGTTTCTCTGAATTCATATCTTTTCCAGTGGACCCATTTATACTAAAACTAAATTGATCAGTTTGTCTGCTTTCGTCATCCAGTGAACAGCTAAAAGCATCCATGAGGGACTGACTATTGTAATTATTACAATCCTGCAAATCACTCTGTAATGTCCTCTTATCACAATTATGCATGACGGCTACAACAAGAACATTCTTCTCATCTGGCAGACAAGCTAGATTTCCACATTTTTTTTCTCCCACTTCGACAGCACTGCGTTGATCATCTCGATTACAGTTCCTTTTAATTAACTGATCTTCTGCAACGGCATTTTCATCAATCCACATTGTGTTAATCTCTGGATTCAGAGGATACTCCTGTCCATTTGCACAATGGTCCTCTCCCTCTGTGGTCAAAGAAGCTGAATGAGCCAGAGAGAAGACTTTCAATTGTGGCTGTGACTCATTAGAAACTGCAGGTTCATTCACACTGGCCAATGCAGGGTTAAATGATAGTCGGTGAGAAGGGGAATCTAGAATCTTATTCCACTTGGTATCCAATAAAATAGGAGAAACTGTTTCATCTGAAAAAATAATTACAATAAGTTTGCTGGTGACACTGTAAAAGCTAGAACTCAGTTAATCAACTACATTTGCAAATACTCTGAAAATAAAATATTCCTAGGATATCTAAAAAGAGAATATTTCTAGAACACGGAGTTTCTAATTTTTAGCTAAGAACAAAAAAATATTAAGACTATTCCTGTATTACATGTCAGTTTGGAAAAGAGGTCATTCATAAGGGGAAACAAGTATAGCCCCAAACACAACAATCTGAGAGAGCAATAAGAAGTCAGTCAGTTTGGGTTGAAAAAGAATTAGGGTAAGGAAATAGTAAAAAGCAGCTAGAAAGGGCAGATTGGAAAGGCCATAAAACATCAGAGTATGTGGAGAATGGTCCTGAATCCTCTGAGTGTTAAATCCTGAGTTGACCAAATGTAGGCTAGCAGAGACTTGAGATTTAGTAACATATGCTTCCTTTAAAAAAAGAAATCATTATTTCCAAGATGGTTCATGGAAATAAAAAAGAATTACCGCTTCTTACAAGAATATTTAATATTCAAACAAGAATGATCAGTTATTAAAATTTCATTATTTGACCACCTACCACATGGGCATACTGTTAATTATCTAGTGTCATCACCATCGTGTGTGCTGTATTTTTCATTTAAAGAAGGAAATTAACACAAAATGAAAAATCACTCTATTTAAAATATACTTTGAAAGACACCAGGCTAGACATTGTAGTTTTAATGCAACTTTAAATTTTTGGGGCTCCTGGGTGTCTCAGTCAGTTAAGCATCTGACTTTGCCACAGGTCTCACAGTTCATGAGTTCAAGCCCCGCATCGGGCTCTGTGCTGATAGCTTGGAGCCGGAGCCTGCTTTGGATCTGTGTCTCCCTTTCTCTCTGTCCTTCCCCTGCTTGTGCTCTGCCTCTCTCTCTCTCTCTCAAAAATAAACAAACATGAAAAAAAATGTAAAAAAAAGTTTTTTAATTTTAGAATTTTTTCAAATTTAAAAAATTCTAAAATTAAAAAAAAAAAAAAATAGCTCAAAACAAATAACATAGTTCCAAACAAGAATGTGGCTTCTGAAGTTCTTCTCCTTCTAGGGAGTTATTTTTTATAAGCAAATGCTGTATTTTTGAACTAAAAGACAATTTTTACTGATTCAATGAAAATGTATTCAAAATCAACTATATACAAAATACCCTACTAGAATCTACATTAGCCACAAAGAGAATCATGTAATGAACTAACAGTTTTATTAGAGTCAAAGGTATTCTAGAAGTATATTATTCATGTGGTTAGGTGTAGCACCTGTGTAGACATCTTATGACAAATAACTGCGATACACAGAGGGCCAAACCAAAGAAAGGATTGAGAAATTATTTGTATAAATGATTGAAACAGAGAGGAAAATACACCTTCTGCCTTGGTATGTATAAAACCCATCTAGATCCAATAAAATCTCAAATTATTAATTTTTACATTTACATGAATCCTATGGCTATGGAGTAGCTTCAGGTCATCAACAGTAAAATATGAGAAGAGCACGCTATTCCATGTATCATTCCTTCTCCCTTTTCTTTCCTAACCCCCATAATCCCATATTCTTTTTAAGGCTTGCTCTATCATAGACCCAAAGCAGTAAAGTTAAAACTAATCTCTCTTCCCAACTACTATCAAAGAACAACCTGAATCACTGGATATAGTAAAGGTTTGGAGATCATTACTAAAATCATGGAGTTCAGATGGAAATATATCAAATTGTAAACTTGTTACATGCCATTTCCCCTTAGAAACAGAGAACACCAAGGAAGGAAGGCGAGGTAAAAGATAGAGATTTAATTATGGCTTATCCATTCAAGTCATACTCAGAGGGAAATTTAAAGAAAAGTTTTCCCTAAACGAAGTGAATCTTAAGCTGACAGTTTATTTAACCATTTTGGCAGTAACTTAAAAATATAAATCTTTTAAAATTAGTTTAAAATGTATCTTTACTTTTTTGGTCAATCAATAGGCAATAAGTTATTTTTCTTAGTTTAGAAATACAATCACACATTCTAAAGCTTTTCTTGATCATAAATTGGTTGTATAAAGAGAGTTTAGGCTCTAGTATGATACTGCCTGGATACTTATCATCCTGCCACTTATCAGCAAACTAACTTTGGGGAAGTTGCTTAATCTCTCTGTGCCTCTCATCTGTAAAATATAGATAAAATCTACTTTCATGGGATTATATTAAAGATTAAATAATACAGTCCATATAAATGCGTTAGCATAGTATCTGGCACATAGTGCTCAAAAATGTTCGTTCCTCCTCTGGGTATTAAAATATAATACTATTATCATTAAGCCACTTTACCCAGTTTTATTTTTTTTTAAGTGTTACATACTCTTAAAATCCCCCATTCTCCATATCATAAATATATTCAAACAGATTCACCAAAGTAAATTCTCACCTTCGTTTTGTTCAAATTCATCTAATACCTTGTCCAGGTTGTAAGCTTCTGCTTGGAAGTAATTCTCCATCGGTGAGGAAACACCACTTAAGAGACTTGTTTAAACTTTCTAGAAAGTAGATCAAATTTGTATTATACTTTCAATTACTAAAATATAACTTACAGACATTACAACTGATAACAGAAATACAAATGATCATGAGACTATTATAAACAATTATACACCCACAAATTGGAAAACCTGAAGGAAATAGATAAAGTCCTAGATGAATATAACCTACCAAGAGTGAATCATGAAGAAACAGAAAATCTGAAGACCAATTATTAATAAAGAGATTGAATCAGTAATTAAAAATCACCCAACAAAGAAAAGTCCAGGATCAGTTGGCTTTACTGATGAATTCTACCAAACATTAAAAAAAGGATTAATACCAATGCTTCCCAAACTCTTCCAAACAACAGAAGATGGGGGGAACACTTCTAAACTCATTTTACAAAGCCAGCATTACCCTGATACCAAAACCAGATAAGGACACTACAAGAAAGGAAAATTACAGGGGTGCCTGGGTGGCTCAGTCGGTTAAGCGTGCGATTTCGGCTCAGGTCATGATCTCGCAGTTCGTGAGTTCGAGCCCCATATCGGGCTCTGTGCTGACAGCTCGGAGCCTGGAGCCTGGAGCCTACTTCGGATTCTGTGTCTCCTTCTCTCTCTGCCCCTCCCCCACTTGCACTCTGTCTCTCTCTCAAAAATAAATAAATATTTTTTTTTCAACGTTTATTTATTTTTGGGACAGAGAGAGACAGAGCATGAACGGGGGAGGGGCAGAGAGAGAGGGACACAGAATCGGAAACAGGCTCCAAGCTCTGAGCCATCAGCCCAGAGCCCGACGCGGGACTCGAACTCACGGACCGCGAGATCGTGACCTGGCTGAAGTCGGACGCTCAACCGACTGCGCCACCCAGGCGCCCCAAAAATAAATAAATATTTTTTAAAAATTAAAAAAAAAAAGAAAGGAAAATTACAGTATCCCTGATGAATATATATACAAAAATTCTAAAACAAAATATTAGCAAACCAGATACAATAATACATTAAAAAGACCATATGCCATGATCAAGTGGAATTTACTCTGGGACACAAGGATGGGACACAATATCTGTGAATCAATGTAATACACCACATTACAAAATGAAGGGTAAATCATACGATCATCTCAATAGATGCAGAAAAAACATTTGACAAAATTCAATACCCAATTGTGATAAAAACCCTCAATCAAGTCAATCAAGTGGGTAGAGTAAGAACACACCTAATAAAAGCCATCTATGACAAGCCCAGAGTGGACATCATACTCAGCAGTGAAAACCTGAAAGAAAGACTTTCCTCTAAGATCAAGAACAAGACAAGTGGGATGCTCACTCTCACCACTTGTATTCAACATAATACTGGAATTTCTAGCCAGAGCAATTAGGAAGAAAACAAAACAAAAAGCATCTGAATCAGAAAAGAAGAAGCGAAACTGTCTGTACTTGAAGCTGACATCATATTCTATATAGAACACTCTAAGACTCCACACAAAAAAACCTGTTAGAATAAATGAATTCATTAACTTTGCAAGATTAAAAAGTCAACACCCAAGGGGTGCCTGGCTGGCACAGTAGGTAGGGAGAGTATGCAACTCTTATTCTCTGGGTCATGAGTTCAAGCCCCATATGTAGAGTTACTTAAAATTTAAAAAAAAAATTTTTTTAAGTCAACATACAAATTTAGTTGGGTTTCTATACACTAACCCCAAATAATCAGAAAGAGAAATTAAGCAAACAGTATCATTTACAATTACATCAAAAATAATAAAATTTCTAGGAATAAATTTAACCAAGGAGGTGAAAAATCTGTACTCTGAAGACACAGATGAAATAATCAGAAGACACAAACAGATGGAAAGATATTCTGAGGCTCATGGATTGGGAAAATTAATATTGTTAAGATGTCCATACTATAGATTCAATGCAATCTCTATCAAAATTCCAATGGCATTTCACATACATACATACATACACACACACACACACACACACACACACACACACACACACAAACACACTCATCCAGCAATTTGTTTGAATCCACAAAAGACCCTGAATAGCCGAAGCAATCTTGAAAAAAAAACAAAGCTAGAGCCTTCATAATACCTGATTTTAAATTATATTACAAAGCTATAGTAATCAAAACAGTATGGTGTTGGCATAAAAACAGACACATAAATCAATGAAACAGGAAAGAGAGCCCAGAAATAAAACCACACATATATGTTCAATTAATTTATGACAAAAGAGCCAGGAATATACAATGAAGAAAGGATAGTCTCTTCAATAAATGGTGCTGGGAAAGCTGGACAGGCACATGCAAAAGAATGAAACCATACATAGAGATCATTTCAACAAGGGGCGCCTGGGTGGCTCAGTCAGTTAAGCACCCAACTTTGGCACAGGTCATAATCTCACGGCTCACATTTTTGAGCCCTGTGTCAGGCTCTGTGCTAACAGCTCAGAGCCTGGACCCTGCTTTGGGTTCTGTCTCTGCCTCTGCCCTATGTCAAAAATAAATAAACATTAAAAAAAAAAAAGATCAATTCAACTCAACATGGATTAAAGTCTTGAACATAGGAGCTGAAACCATAAACTTCCTACAAGAAAACACAGGCAGTTAAGCTCCTTGACATTGGTCTTGGAGATGATATTTTGGATTTGACTCCAAAAGCAAAGGCAAGAAAAGCAAAAATAAACAGGTGGAACTACATCAAAGTAAAAAACTTCTGCACAGTAGTGGAAACCATCAACAAAATGAAAAGCAACCTACTGAATAGGAGAAAATATTTGCAAACTGTATGTCCAATAAGGGGTTAATATCCAAAATATATTCAGAACTTAAACAACCTGATGGCAAAAAACCCAAACAACCCAATTAAAAGTGGGCACAAGATGAGTAGACACTTTTCAAAGAAGACACACATATGGCCAAGAGACACATGAAAAGATGCTCAACACAATGAATCATGAGAGAAATACAAATGAAAACCACAATCAAATCACACCTGTTAGAATGGCTAATATCAAAGAGACAAGAAATAACAAGAGTTGGTAAGGATGAAGAGAAAAGGGGACCCTTGTGCACTGTTGATGGCAATGCAAACTGTATGAAAAAGAGTATGGAGGTTCCTCAAAAAATTAAAAATATAACTGCCATATGATTCAGCAATTCCTCTATTAGGTATTTATTTTAAAAATGAAAATACAAACACCACAACTTCATATATATATAAAATCATTATGTTATACAGCATAAACTAATACAATGTTATATGTCAATTATATCTCATATAATTGTGAAAAAAGTGAAAAGAATATAGATTAATAAAAATATTTATAATTTTTATATAACAAGTATCCTTGTATACTTAAGATGTTGGATCCAGTTATTTATTAATATTTTGTATATAGTGACTATGAAATGCTGAGTATTGTAGGTATATGTTAAATGTGCTAGATTGTATGTGGTAAGAAATTTCATTTATGCTCTTACCGTTGGACAGTTTAAATGTTCAGTCTTTATCAGAATAAAAAGTAATCTTAAGTATACAAGGATAAAATCTCTTATAAATCTATTCAGACCACTTAAAGTATAAAACCTATCATCCCACTAGAGGTATTCTAAGATCTTTAAGCTAATAAAGTCTAGAAACCTGTAAGCTAACAATTATCAAAATGTAATTGCAGGAGACAGACTTGGTGCATTTGAATACGATACGTTTCAAAAGATAAATTCCAGATGTTGAGAGAGGAAATCACTTCTTTGAGATAAAACTACATTTCTATTTAAAAAGAAAAGTTTTATTTTATTTCTTCTTCTTTTTTTATTTAGTGTTTATTTTTGAGAGAGAGAGAGACAGAGGGCGAGCAGGGGAGGAGCAAAGAAAGAGAGGGAGACACAAAATCCAAAGCAGGCTTCAGGCTCTGAGCTGTCAGCACAGAGCCTGATATGGGGCTCAAACCCATGAACTGTGAGATCATGACCTGAGCTGAAGTCAGACACTTAACCAACCGAGCCACCCAGGCGCCCATTATTTTATTTCTTTAAAGTTTACTTATTTTGAGAGAGAGAGAGAGAGACAGACAGACGTGTGCATGAGCGGGGCAGGGACAGAGAGTGGGAGAGAGAGACAGAGAATCCCAAGCACAGGGCTCAATCTCATGAACCGTGAAATTATGAACTCTTGGTCCAAAAGCAAGAGTTGGACATGTAACCAACTGAGCCACCCAGGCACCCCAATAAATAAAACTTAAAAAAAACACCTATTCCCAAATGGAAAATGATAAGTTCAAGCAAGCATGGGGATAAGGGACATTAGTTCTAAAATGTTAATGATAATTCTGACTTGGTTATTCTCTCTAGTAGGTTTTTTTAAAAATAATCTCTGTACCCAACATGGGGCTCGAACTCATAACCCCGAGATTAAGAGTCAGATGCTCTACCAACTGAGCCAGTCAGGTGCCCCTCGGTTACTCTTTTTAAACCTCTTCTTTTCAAGTACAATTTCTTAGTCTTTCTTGGTGTTAATTGATCAAAAAGCATCCTGTGAGCACATATACTAGGTGTATCACCCACTTAACAGAATGTCAAGAGTACATAGTAGTTGTTAAATAAATATTAGCCCATTTTTCCCTCTATTATCATAATCCCCATGCTTATCTCCTTAATTTCTCAAAATGTTCTTTTCAAACTGAAAATTTTACTTGGCTTCTTATTGGTATATAGAAAGGCAGATGGGAGGGGAGATAATTTTACAATTCCCCTAAAAAGTCTAAGTAAGGAAAACATGAAGAAGAGGGAAAATCAAGAATGTAATATCCTGTTATTACAAATTTTAAGTTAAATATAAAAAGTGGTGAATTTTCTTTGATTTCTAGTGTTTCCTCTCTGAGGCATAAAAAGCATCAATATTATTTCTTTCATTTTACCAATTAAAAAAAAAAGCTCAGGGGATTAAATGGGTTTATTCAATCATTTCCGTATGATTATTCATTCAGTCAACTTTTATTTATTGATTG